TCTGTGATGGATGGGATATTTTCGTTGTAGGGATCAGAAATATTGTCAAACAAAATTCTGGCATCCGGGTGGATTTTCGTATCTCACACCGAGATCACAATTCGCTCGACATAATCGGAATGTCAACGGAGTTTTATTCACATTAGTTTTCGATGCAAGGATTTCAATTTGGGCAGGTACTTTGAGAATTATCTTCCACTCGGAAGGAAAGAGTGATTATACGTATGCTAAAATTGTATATATTTATGCAATATATTTTAAATTTGACACCCATTTCACTTCTAAATGTAATATACAAAATTGTTTGTCCGTGTATCTCAAATAGGGTTAAACTTGTGATGCTAAAAATTACACATAAGGATCAAATAATGTTTTCAAAAGAATGATACAAATAAACAATTTGAGAAATATATGAAGAAACGATTTATTCTTTTCCTTCCAATTCTTTTTTCTTTCGTTCCTTTTTCATATATCTTCTTACGCTGGCATTAAATAATGGCGTAGATCTGCCTACACTGTTTCATCTTTCTTTAACTGATTCCAATAGTTATGCATTATATTCAACAATTCTTGGTTAAAGAAGAGGATCTTTCGTATAGAAATATACTGAAACACGCAATAACCTATAACTAAGTTACACAACCACAAAGTCTTGTGAACAAAGTCTTTACCTAATAATTTGAATTTGGATTTTTTAAAAAAAGGATAACAAAGCTTTTACAATGTTTCAGTCATATCGCTACGGTGTCTGCAGTGTGCCAGTTTATAGTGATGCCTAGCACTGGTGCATCATGCCGCAGACATGTCGCATGATATCCCACCCAGTCGCATTATTCTGACACCAGGCCGACCAGTCCTAAAGTGTAAGTTTATATCAATGGTAGTGTATTACATCCATTCAATAATTTCATTTGCATGTGGCCGTCTTCATTGTGTATTAGGAATAGATGGAATTGCGCACAGATTGTTTTTCTTTTATTTTGTTTCTAGTATGCAATAGTAATCGCTGTATTTAATGTGTTCATTGAAAATGCATATTTCATAACCTAACTGTAAGAGCCATGATTTCATAGTCAGACAGACCAAACACACATACTGTTAGGTAAGTAGGTAGATAGGTAGGTAGGTGGATGGATTGTTAACTATGCGGTTATATTTATGTACATAGCTTTGTATTGGTAGATGGATGCATGCAAAGATGGATATATTAATGGATGTATTTAAATATAAGTAGTTGATGTATGGATATATAAATGGAGGGAAGGACGAATGGCTAGTGAACGGAAAGATAAATAGAGATATAAAGTCTTACAAATCACATCATACATGCATGCATGCATACAGACAGACAAAGATAATATATATGAATGTTTGGATAGTTATAATTATGTATATTGATGCATACTAACGTGGATTCATGGATATATAGATGGATGGAAGTATGGAAGGATTGGTGACGCGAACAGAATGAAAACCAGAACTACATAAACGCCACTTCCGAGTAACACAAACCATAAATAGTTATACTACATTCAGATAGTCAGACATGTGGACATATCAATGTTTAGATGTATAAATAGCTCCACCATGGCTCATTGTAAATAAAGTCCATGTTCATTCTATACAATAAGATTACACAGATTATGATATCGATGTTGTCTTTTGCCACAATGTAAGAACTAATATTTATTCTCTGTATTCACTAATTTACCTTTAACTGTTTGTGAATATCATCAGGCACCAGAAATACTCTATTGCAACGAATACATAACTAGGCAAGGAGGCGATCTTGTGTTTGTACATCTAGATGTACAAGTGACATATAATCAATTTTCTGGAAAATTTCTCACTTTTTTATTAAAAAAATCTCAGCGATTACACGTATATCGGAAGCTATGACATGTTTGACAGAATAAAGGTAATTGATAAAAGGTTAAGGTAAAGTTATATGCGGAATGGACTCGACATTTTTATCTTCATTACAAGACACATTTATCGCAGATAAATGTTTAACCAGTCTATGTCTCGTCTGATCAGGAGCCTTAGATATAAAGATGTGTCTGTATGGGCGTTAACACCAGGCAGCGCGCTCTTATAGTTGGCCTAAGTAATTACATTTAAAGACAGCTTCCTATTTCGTTAATGTTGCGTTGTTGACTTTGAAGAAGCTGAGAAACTTTTGGGTATCACTAATCATTCTATATATAAAATGTTTGAATCTGAGCCTTCTACGGATTACTGATGTTTTTGATTATCTTACAAGTAAATCTTACAATGGCACCAGTCTGCAAATTTACGTATTTGACTACATAACTTGGTCAATAATAATAACAACTTCTGTGTTTTGATTGATATATTTAGACTTTTAACAGATCTGATGTTTTGTTATCATCCGTACGAAATATTGTTAATGCACTTTTAGCTTAATTGTGGACTGAGGTCTCCTGAAACTTGGAGATACAATGACTCGTTCTGAAGCGGTGCTTTTGACCCATACCACGAGCATGAGACTTATAAATGCAACAAAAAAAAGCAAGCAATGCACCTCCAGAGGGCGTCCATGTACTGTACGTATTAAAAGGTTCATGGCTAATACAACTTTACATGCTAAATATTTTTAAATTCCGCGAGTTTTAATATTTTAACTAGTTTTGGGAAAGTTCTTTTCGTGGAAATTGATTGATCACGAATCTGGAAAAATACCCAGCCTAATTATGTCAACATATAAATCCGTGCTTCGTTTGGCATATCTTTTCGCATGAAAGAAAAATCGAGCAGACATTGATTATTGGAATTTAAATGTTAATACCAATAATTTTAATACCAATAATTAAAATTATTCATTTAATACTAATAGTCACTGTCTACTCGATTTTTCTTTCATGCCAATAGATATTATGCATGGAGACATGAATAGACTCATAACAGAAACTTATTGGATTCACAAATTAGATACTTCGTATCCTAATTGCCCTAATACCAATATATTATATAAAATTGTATAATTGTCTTTTCAATTGTTAAATTGTATATCCTTTATAACAATATAATTGTAGGTATGACTGCTTGTCTCCATTTTATTTTATTATTTTAATGTTTGTATTACGTCATTTGGTAAGTAGGTTACACGTATATGCTTCCATTCAACAGTTATTAAGTATTTCGGAAAGAGGACAAGGTATATAGTAAAGTTGTGTGCATTTACAGGAATCATAATGTAGACAATGATGTCATACCTCTAAGCTATTTTCACGTACTGGAACTGAAATTTGTGTTTTATGTCGTATTAGTATTAGGGAAGCAACAAGCTGCCTAAAGCAGACTGCTGATCGAAATGGCTGCTCCAATATTTCAAGATCAAAGAGTGAGAGAGAGAGAGAGAGAGAGAGAGAGAGAGAGAGAGAGAGAGAGAGAGAGAGAGAGAGAGAGAGAGAGAGAGAGAGAGAGAGAGAGAGAGAGAGCACAGTTTGACACACCAAAAAAGTTCGTATATTAAATTGCGATCCGCCGAGGTGCTTTTTAACTAATATATAAACATTCTTTCAACGGTAGACTATCACTTTTAAAACTCTAGACCAATTATGAATTTCATTAACAACAACAAAAAAAAAACAAACAAAACAAACAAGAACAATATTAATAATCCATGTAGGACAGAATTGTTTTAATTAATGTATCCTGATGATCTTGCAAGTTGGGCGACTCATTATTAAAATTATTATTAAAATCATAATTAAAATTATTATTAAAATCATTATTAAAATTGCGACTCATTATTAAAAAGAAGGGTTTTAACAATTAAAACTGTAACTGGAATTATCGTTAAATAACTCCAAAGCAAAGGTTGTGATATTAGCAAAGGTAGAAAAAAATATCTAAAAATTGTACTTATGTATTGTTGTTTTTACATCTAGTAGTTCTCTTTCAGAAGTTCATGAAGCGATCTGATCAGCCTCAACAAGTAGTTCATAAGTTAACCAAATACATAAATGCATTAATATTTCTGCAAGCCTAGTTTTTTTTATTTATTTGCTAACATTGTAACACCTATATTTAATTATGGAGCAGAAGTGTGGGTATTTGCAAAATCTAATTTTATTTAAAGGGCTCATTTACATATAGTTCATTAAAAAATTGGCGCAAAACGGTGTGCAAACGATGATATATATTTAATGGAGCTGACAGAATGTCAGGAATAAATACTGATTGACTTGGTTGAACATTACCTGCTAAACGAAAAAAACAAACATGGAAAACTTGTTTACAATACCATGTTGTTGTTGTTGTTGTTGTTGTTGTTGTTGGGCTTAACGCCATTTTTCAGCACACGATAGGTTATTCATGGCGGCCAGTATTAATGGTGGAGGAAGAAACCGGGAAATCACCAGAAAGAACCACCGACCCACGAGAAGCTACTGACAAGCTTTCTCACATATCCACATTAGCCGAATCTTAGACTCAAACCTATGCATACAGAGGTGAGCTGGCAGTGATCCATAACAGATAGCGCTATAGACCACTCGGCCACTCGAGTCCCCCAATACCATGTTAAATGAAAGTACTAGTCAAACCTGTAACTGAAATTGGACTACCATATTTAGACAGTTATCTCGGCTAAGTTTTAAAAGGATTGGGTTTTCAAAGGTTATTTATTGCAAAACAAAGGCTACTTGACAGCTGCATTCAAAATGGATTGCAAGTTTGGTGAATCCATCAAACTATAGAACGATGCTAATGTAAGATATCATTAATATCGGAGACGACATTAGGACAGGAAATATAGAATTGCATGAAAAATATTCAGCCATATCGCTACGTTATCTGCAGTGTAACAGTTTATAGTGATGTCAAGCCCTGGGGCATCATGGAGGAGACATGTAGCATGGTGTCCCACCCAGTCACATTATCCTGACAGCAAGCCAACTAGTCCTAACACTAACCTCTTAATTCTGAGCGTCAAGCGAGGCAGCTGTTAGTACCATTTTTGTAAGTCTTTGGTATGACTCGACCGGGGATTGAACCCACGACCTCCAGCATCCGAGGCGGATGTTCAATCCACTAGGCCACCGGAGCGGTTCCTAGGTTGGATGATGGAACACACCAAATAATACTCCCAGAGAAAATTGCCATTTTTCTAAATTCTGAAAGATGACTTTAACTTTTTACAAAAATTTCCATTGCATCTGGAACTTTGAAAGAAGTATACACATATACCTTATTGGAAAACATGTTTAACTAATATGTGCTACTATTATAAATCTAGCTAGGACGTAAAGCATCTATTTTTAAAAAGCTTTTTAACTGAGAGGTAATGCATTACTTTATCTACTGGCCCTGACTGATACTGACAATTGTAACAAATGAAAGCAATATTATCAAAAAGGATATTATAATGTTAATTAGTCTATTACTCCAATCTGAGATCAACGGGATAATGCTTGCTGTACAGCGTTATTATATGTGCAATTTGTATTGTTGTTTCCTAATAACAACATATATTTTGTGTACGTAATATATATATATATATATATATATATATATATATATATATATATATATATATATATATATATATATATATATAATATAATATAATATAATATAATATAATATAATATAATATAATATAATATAATATAATATAATATAATACAATACAATTCAATACAATACAATTCAATGCAATGCAATGCAATGCAATGCAATGCAATACAATACAATACAATACAATACAATACAATACAATACAATACAATATAATATAATATAATATAATATAATATAATATAATATAATATAATATAATATAATATAATATAATATAATATAATATAATATAATATAATATAATCAAATATAATATAATATAATATAATATAATATAATATAATATAATATAATATAATATAATATAATATAATATAATATAATATAATATAATATAATATAATATAATATAATATGTGTGTTAGAACCATTAGCTTTTAAAATTCAAGTTTAGCCCCTATATGCAGGACAACTTTATCCTTTTTCACTGGACGAAACTCAACTCAATTCGTCATTACACCTCTCCGGAAGTTCCTGAATCTCATGATAACTCTTTACTTCGAGCCAGGAAGTTGGAGGCGTGTATTGAACTTCATACTGATTTTCTGTAAAAGATCAAAATACGTTTCGTGAATTCATCTTGAAAACTGAACAGATTTCTAACTAGCCTAAAATGGCAACTATTGAACAAACGGCACAGCACACTTACTAGATCAATCTTAAACATGGGGCTTCGTTACGGAAGGAACAAAAAAGGATAAAGACTAGAAAGTTTTGCATCGAAAATCTTCCAGCAAAACTGAACGTCAGCACTGTAATAATGTTGTCATTGGTTAAGTTGACTAATTCAGACATAAGTCTCCTCTCTAAGGGACTCGATGTTTGTCCCCGTCCGAAAACGTATAATGTACTGGAATTGAAGACATCACGAGTTTTGCGCAAAGAACTGAATACGTTAAACTGTGTTGTGCCTCAGACATTAACAGACTTGCATAACGCATAACACAATGATGACAAAATACTAACTAACCTCTTAACAGTTGACCTCAAACCAGAAATATTTTATTAAATCTGAAATACGCCTAAGGAACTTGAGATGACCAATCATTTCCTGAAACAATCCTCCCACTGAACAAATATCTGAATTTGTTGATTATCACCTTTGGCCTTTCGTGGAAGAACTGTCTTCATATATCCAAGATTTGAAACAAAAGACAATAAACTTACCTTGTAGATAACACTCTTCGTCACCGTGGATGTATGATCATTATACATTAACGTACATACCAAACGAGGAAGGTATCACATGTTCTCAAGTTTAAGTATGTTGTTTTCAACAAATAAACGTCTTTCCCGGGATACAATCGTTCCAAAGTTTGATAGCAAGAGTTAGCTACACGATCAATCAGAATCTAGGATGCATGGCCAAAATACAGCCTATCTTCTGACACAGTATCTTTGCCAGCCAATATCTCCCCGAACCGTTGAATTCAGAAAGCGAGAAAATAATAGCCAAAGCCAAATTAGCAAAAAAAAAAAACAGCGCGAAAACGTCAACGAGATTAACTAGAATCGACATTCAGTCGAGTCCCCACACACGAGTACTCTAATCGTGCTACCTTAGAAACTAGATCTGCATAACTCGAGAGGCACATTAAAAGGACATGATACCAAAGGAGCGACATTGAAGATGACTATTAACAAACCAAACTTCTCAAAGGTGGAGTTCTAGCAAAATATAAAACTAAGAAAACCAACAAATGGAACTGCACTGAGTATTAAAAGGCGTCTTCACAATGAAAGAATTTTTTTAATGGGAACACTCGAGGAAATCTTCTTACCAAGGTCATGCATAAACATCTATGCTGGTGACTATAAGTTGACTACATCGAATCTAAATGGATAAAATGGCTATCCTCAAGTTTAAGTATGTTGTTTTCAACAAAGAAACGTCTTCCCCGGGATACAATCGTTCCAAAGTTTGATAGCAAGAGTTAGCTACACGATCAATCAGAATCTAGGATGCATGGCCAAAATACAGCCTATCTTCTGACACAGTATCTGTGCCAGTCAATATCTCCCCGAACCGTTGAATTCAGAAAGCGAGAAAATAAAAGCCAAAGCCAAATTAGCAAGAAAATCAGCGCGAAAACGTCAACGAGATTAACTAGACTCGACATTCAGTCGAGTCCCCACACACGAGTACTCTAATCGTGCTACCTTAGCAACTAGATCTGCATAACTCGAGAGGCACATTAAAAGGGCATAATACCAAAGGAGCTACATTGAGGAGGACTATTAACAAACCAAACTTCTCAAAGGTGGAGTCCTAGTAAAATATAAAACTAAGAAAACCAACAATCGTTCTTTCTTTTGTGGAATCTTTTTACCACCGATGCCCTACTAAAGCGTCGGATCGTCCAAATGGTATGATTCAAAAAGTTCCAATTGTTGCGTAGCGTAGACCCAAATATCCCAAGGACCGATGTAACGTTAGACAAGACTAAAGATTCAAGAATATGCCGCTGCATAGATCAGCGTTGTAAAATTTAAAAAACATAAGCCCGGGATACAATCATTCCAAAGTTTGACAGCAAGAGTTAGCTACACGATCAATCAGAATTTAGGATGCATGGCCAAAATACAGTCTATCTTCTGACACAGTATCTGTGCCAGTCAATATCTTCCCCTAAACGTTGAATTCAGAAAGCGAGAAAATAAAAGCCAAAGCCAAATTAGCAAGAAAATCAGCGCGAAAACGTCAACAAGATTAACTAGACTCGAAATTCAGTCGAGTCCCTCGACATCCCACATGTAGTCGACCAGCATTGAACGCACACTTAAGAAACAATACTTGATACAATAATTTAAAACTCATTAAGAGTTCGGCCAAAATGAAAAACTGTCTAATCTTTCTGCTGTAGTCTTATTAAAATTACAGCAAATCATCAATATTTCACCCGTACACAATTTTGGGTTAGATGCTGTCAAATCAGCTCACGTGTTGTGGTAGCCTAGATTTCTTCTCGACTGTACGGAGCCAATCCTTTCTTGATCTGCATTCCTTCTTTTGTCATTGCAGTACCAATGTAGATCTTGCCTGGAAATGTGGTTTGGTATGCCCTCCGTGTAAGGCCAATCCACCCATACTTCTTTTCGTAGACTTCTTGGTGGATATGTAGCTGGTACCTAATAATAATAATCATAATAATAATAATAATAATAATAATAATAATAATAATAATAATAATAATAATAAATAATAATAATAATAATAATGATAATAAATAATAATAATAATAATAATAATAATAATAATAATAATAATAATAATAATAATAATAATAATAATAATAATTATTATTATTATTATTATTATTATTATTATTATTATTATTATTATTATTATTATTATTATTCACCATTACACATCTGCATCATTCTCTTCACATCTTTCCTTTAGACCCGAGACGGGCAACATACGGCTCGCGGGCCAGATTCGGTACCCGATGAGATTTTGACTGGCCCGCAGACTGTTTCCGGTCGTACATGATAATGTGGCCACGGTTAGAATTCAGTTAGAATTAGATTTAGAATTTACAATAAAATTTTTACCATGGATTTTGCCAAGAAACGTAAAGTTGACAGCAAGTACTTTTTCACAGAAGTCGGCAAGAAAGCTATATGTTTGCAGTGCAGTGAAAGTGTTGCCATGTTGAAAGAGTACATTAGCCGCCATTATGCGACGAAACATGCAGGCTATGGAAGTACTTTATCAGCAGCAACAGAACAACAGAGCAGCAACAAGAGCAACAGAACAACAGAGCAGCAACAAGAGCAACAGAACTGGACAGAAAACGTGTAAAGCAGCAGAATATATTCGGAAAGAAAAGCTAATGTTGCCCAGAAAGCTGCTATTCATGCCAACTTTGTGATCGCATACAACATTGCTAAGAACAGCAAATCGTTCTGTGATGGAGAATTAGTCAAAAAGTGTATTCTCGATGTAGCTGATAAAGTCTGTCCAAAACAAAGAAAGAAGTTTGGAGAAGTCAGTTTATTGAGAAGAACTGTGGCTCGCCGCATTGAAGCAATTGGTGAATACCTTACATCACAACTGAAAGGGCCTGTACCTTCATTTCAGCTGTTTTCCTTGGGATTTGATGAAAGCACTGACATCGATGACACTGCACAGTTGCTCATCTTTGTACGAGGCATTTCAGAAAACTTTGAAATCACAGAAGAATTGCTGTCAATGGAATCAATGAAAGACACGACTACCGGGGAAGATATCTTTGAATGTGTGGAAAATGCCATGCATTCAATGAAATTACCATGGCAGAAAATGGCCAGTGTTACTACGGATTGTTGTCCATCTTTGACAGGAAAAAAAGTTGGTCTACTGAAGAGACTGGGTGACCGTGTTGCAGAAGTCATTTGCACCAGAGAGCAGATATTTCGTCATTGCATAATACACCAGGAAGTGCTATGTAAAAGTGTGTTTGACATGAAACATGTGGATCCAG